AGACAACCGCCATATCCCTTGTCGGGTCTTGTCGGGTCCTGGGTTTTCCTCTCCAAGACCGTACATATACCAAGGCAATACAGACAAACATAAACGCTTGCCGTCAGGTAACATACCTGGTTCGCCGAGTTGTTTCGGAGACACGGTGGTGTCGATGAACGCAGAGCCGGCCAATTAGTCACGTCTTTTGCCTTAAACGAAATCCTCTACACTCTCCCTTACCGTGTACTTACGCAAACGCAGACGAAACGTAAGCAGCCCGCCCTTAATACACTCCGTGAAGCAGCTCTGCGTGTCCCTATACACGCATCTACAGGAAACTCTACGCTACAGGGTTCTTTCTCTCTCTTCTTACTCTACACAGACTTTACAGGGGCCGTCAACTGGGTCGCTTGTCTGGCTCTACGCAGGGTTACTGACTCCTGCAACAAGCTGGCATGCGACCTATTTATTTCCCCCTACACACCCTCCCCCCCCCCCCCCCCCCCTCCAAAAAAAAAAATCTTTTTTTCGACAACCTTTGATGCGCCCCGCTCCCTGCCCACATGACCCCGGGACTGCATGGTGGATACCGTCAAGTCTGGGCCTTGAAACTTGACCCTTTCCCACCTGATACTACCACATGCTACGTGGGCGCTTCCTGTTTCCCCCCTCTTGGTGCCACAGCCTGTGTCCCCGTAACGCGCCCAGCCACTCTTCCCACTACGTCCACAACTGGCAAGTATTCCAACCCAACTTCTCCGTCCGCTCTTGACATTGCTGCCATAGTGCATGCGACTGAAGATCTTACCTCCGTTCTATTTAGTATGCTGTTATTGCCGCTACGAATTCTTGTTTCCCTCTCATATATTGCATTCCACATGAATGCCCTTGAGGTCAGACTTGTACGTAATCCGTTACAAGTAACGAAATTACTTGTAATCCCTTACATTTATCAGTAATTTAGTAACGGAATAATTACATATTTTCTAGAGTAATTTTAAAGTAATTCCCTTACATTTTTGACGTAACGGATTCCTTGTAATCCGTTACATTTTTTTTTTGTCAGAACCAACCCCCCCCCCCCCCCCCAATTCTAAATAAAGTTTTTTTTTTTTTTTTTTTGTAAAGTCGAGCGCAGTGACAATGTCACGCGAATGGACCAGCGCAAAGGGGGGCTTGGCACTCTTCAGTTCCACAAAGCCTTTTTTTGCAACACCAAGCCCCTGAATCTATTTTCTTTTTAGACCCTAACAACAATGTAAAAAAATTTAAATAAACAATTCTACAAATAAAAAAAAAAGTGGGGGGGGAGTTATTTTTGCTTTTTTTTAGTTCCTTTGTTTTTTCTTTGCAATCGAAGACGGGGAGAGGAGGACACCAAGTGATTGTGCGCCTCTCAGAGAAGCTCGAGGCGGTAAGTGCACTGAAAATAATTAACAATGCCACCCTACCCTTTTTGTGAGTCAGTTTTTTGCGAGCATTTAGAAAATAGTTATAGTCTTCCTTTCTGCTTCTTCCTGTTTTGCCCCAGCAGGACGCATCTTATCTCAATCAGATATTTTTACAAATAAAATAAAATGGTGGCTGGGACGTAGACGATATCTTGGGCTTGAGGAAAGAGTGAAATTCGTGAGTGGGGCCATAGCGCGGCTTCCTTAGTACTCTACCATTTGCTGCCCGTGGCATCAGCGGACGTCTATCTGGAGAACACCGGAGTAAACTGCAGTCGGTCCGTGCTCCGTGCGTTTTTGAACGGCACTAACAAAACACACGGCAAACGTGCGTTTACATTTCCTTGTTTTAACCTACGTTCTAATTAATTGTTGTTACGAGTGTCCTTCTTTTTATTTTATTACTTATATTTGTATACTAGAAACTGGTTTTATTCACCAACGTCTTAAGTGAGGCTCGAACTGTTCAGAACCAAAGGAAGAAGAATATCGAGCCAACGCTTATTTATTACTTAATTATCACCTTGCTGTTACAACTATGTTTTGCTATTGATGACTTATACAGCTTCGAGATTTAGACAATTTTAATAGATCGGTCCGATGACTCCGATAACGATATCCGATACTTCGCCGTTGTTTTTGCGTATGCATCATATCGTTATCGGGTACCATTATCGCGGGTATCGGAGGTATCGGAAGGATCTACTAAATATCTCGAATAGCAGGCAACGGCTGCAACGACGAAGCTTTGCTTTATCTTCGAGGTAAATAGTACTTCCCTTGCTTCGCTGAAAAAGCTCAATGCAGAAAATGAAGCAGTCGTGAGGAACAATTTCGCACTCCCATCCAGTGCCTCAGCTCAAATGGTGTTCAGCGTAGCAGTTGACATATTGAATAAGAAATAACGCAAAATGTCTGACGAGACTTTCGAGAGCCAGCTGTTGCTCAAAATACTCAAGGTCATTAAATGGAACAGGTGGCAACAATAAAAGCTTGAATAACCCTCTTCCCTTAGTTTCTTACTTGAGGAAAATAATGTTAAAAGTAACGCCACGAAAGTAACGGATTACTTTTTGGGGTAACGGTCAGTTACTTTCATGGGAGGGTAATTGTAATTGTAATAAATTACAATTGACCCTTGAGTAATTGTAAATGTAATTCCTTACTATTTTTCAGTAACGTGTGCAAGTCTGCTTGAGGTAATGAACTTGAACTTGAGCTTGCTGAACTTCGTCAAATATCGTCGCAGAGAGGCGGTTTGACAATTAAAAAAAAACATTAAGGATATTATTACCTGGACGCTTAATTAGCATAGAAAAGCATATTTCGACAATGTTCCCAAAATGTATACTGATGTAGCATAAAAAGTAGGGAAAAGGGATGGAGTGAAATATGGCACCCCCGATAAGCTGGATAAACGTCAGTTTCCACCTTGGCCGCTTCAACGGTCTATAACTTGAAAACGAAAAATGCGACGAAGTCGCCATTTGCGTCTTCTTTTATTATAGGAATTGCCCGAGAACATATATTTTCTGAAAAAAAAAATGAAATCACCCATATATATAAAAGAAAGAAAACTTGGGACGTGGGGGGGGGGGGGGGGGGGGGATCTGACGCTTAAACATCCCCCTGGCTACCCGCCTGTTGCTTGTTCTTGTTTTTTTAGTTAAGAAGGTTATATTTACAATGGTCGCAAAAGACCATAATGTTAAAAAATTGTATAGGACCATGTTGATAAGAGTGGGCGTTGACAGGAGACAATAAGCCGAAAAAAATTTGGGAAAATATTCATTTGATGCATTGAGTTCTGATACAGTCGATTTTTATGTTTTCAACTTCGACATATTCAATAACATATTTGTCGTTAAAAATATCACTGAAAGCGAAAATGGTTCGAGCTTAATTGCTGCAATACAATTAGCATGTGTATAAACAGCACAGAAGAATAAATTTGTTAACCGAGACTCGGTTCGTTGTGTGCGTGTTAATAAATTTCCTCTACCTTCCCGCCTCCCCTCCCCCGCGTGTCCCGCATTTCGCTAGCAGGAAGGTGGTCACCCTACTCTGACGACACGGGACCAATGTTGCCTGACGCAACCAAAGTTTCGGTTTCGGTATCTGCTGATGTTAGCGCTAAGATTACACAAATAATATTCCACATTTCGCGAAGACGCAGACGTAGAGCTGTTTAGTATAGTGCTTTGGGAAATGGAATCACATGTAAGCCTAATTTTTTCGGAATTGAGCGGAGTTTTCCTTTAACGCTATCGAGTTAAAACAAAAATAAAGCACTCTGTTACAGAAAAAAAAAGAACGCGAAAATTTTAAGCAGCACCAACGGGTAGCTTCCGGGTCTTTTTCGCGTTTTCCACATCCCAGAGGGGAGGAGAGAGCGCAACAGACCTCTACCACTTCACTCTTGCCCTCCAACTTCTAGTGCTCCAGCTTCAGTTTGGTTCCAAAATCCTGAAGCGGCGCGGCGGCGGTGAGGGGGGCGGGGAAGGGGGCCGAAAGCGAGAGAGAGAAGTAGCCGAGTAGCGCGCCTTGCTGTAGACGACGTGGTTGTGCCAGGGCAACTGCGTCGTTCTCCAAATATTTTAAAAGTCAACGAACGAACGAAGGCAACGCGTGGGTCGACGGTGATGAAAAGAGGGAAAGCCTGGTGGTGTTATTACTCTCTTTTCCCGATGACTTAGATTTCGCGTACGGATCCCGCCGGGTTTCGCCCAGAATGGACACTCAGAGCTCGTTCACACCACTGCGTTTGACTGCGTTAAGACTGCTTGCGTCGAGCTTTTCCTCTGGCGACCCTTACGACGAATCAGTGCGGAGGCGCTGTGCTGCACCTCGCAACGCAGGGCAATGCAGTCGACGCAACTGTGTGAACGAGTCTGAACACTGTAGAAAACTTACGTGGACTTTGAAAGCCCACATGCTGCCTTAACCTTCTGAATAGTTAACTGAATAGTTAACTTAATAGTTAAAAACAATGGCAAGGGATGGCGCTAGCATGCAAGAGTTGGTGTTCATGTTCTGTTTTCAACGCGTACGCCACTGGTCTGTAGATCCCGTTCTCTTGCTTCTGGCGCAATACTGCGCCAAAGCCAAAAGAAGAGGCGTCTGTCGACAACATGGTGGATTTCCTTGGGGTCAAACAGAACGACTAGCGGGTCTGTTGTCAAAATCAACTTTAGTATTTTCAAAAGCCCGTGGTTCCAGGCCCATTGGATTTTTGGAACTCAGTAATGCGACCAGCGGGTGTGACTCTTGGGCCAAACTTGGCGTGTCCAACCTTGCCTCTCGTTTCAAAGAGATTGCGCCGCAGGATACAATACAATACAATACAATGGTGGCGCCCCCTGGTTACCACTGCATACAATTTGGTTTCAGGTACATATTCAAAATTTAAATACACGTAAAAATAACGACAAAAAAAAAAAAATTCGCTTATAGGTTTTCAGAAAGATCAAAGTTTTGAGAAAGGACACATTAGCAACAAAGGCCCATTGATAAAAATAAGACGATCAGAACTGCGATCGGAAGGCTACAATTACAGGATGTACTTACTCGGATTGGCAGTGCGGGTAAAATTAAACGCTACGTTCTTTGGGGGTAGCGGCTTGATGTCTAATGAAGCGTTCGCTCTGTGTGTACTTTCACCACGGTTGGAGGCATCTATGTAGGACAACAAGAGTGTCTTGACCAGCCCTGTAGTTCCTCCCGCCAGAAATGTCATCTTCAGGCAATAGGCATTCATCCCAAGTAGGGAGGATGTTGATTTAGGAGTGGTGCTTTGTCCATAAAACGTTTCTCTGCTTAAGTGCGTCAACCACTGGAAAAAGAGCGAGAAAGGTGGTCAGATAAAGTTCACCATTTTAAGATATGAATGGCATTGATCCTTCTTTCTACGGGCTATTATAAGAGTAGGACACGCGGTGCAGAGCCATATATAAGGGAAGAGTTTTGGATTGGATTGGCCTTGTAGAGGCAAATCCAATCCACCCTGCAAAAAGGCACAGATGTTAGGTCTGTTCGATTCGGCCAGAAAGTTCTGAACTAGTTCTGTCCGAGTTCAGAGAAGTGAAGGATTCGTGTAGCGGCGGCGCAGATCCAGTGCAGAAGGAAACGGTCAGCGAGCGATAGGGACCAAACAGAGATGGGGAGAAACGAAGACATGCAGACCGCTGACTATCAACTGAGACTTTATACTTCTTGTTCATCACTTTAACCCAGAGATTCACATCTAAAGTAATGCCTATAAATCACCTTAAATACTTACGTTATACTACTAAAGGAAATTAAAATAAATTAAATTAAATGAAGTTAGGTAATTAAACTTTTCTTTTTGCATTACCTACGAACTAGCTCAACTTCAGCCTGTTATTCAGTGCAGAACCAGTGAACGTGGCGGGATACCCGCCGCGTGCACCTATCTCGTCTGGACGTGTGAGTGGTTCGCGGAAAATAGTAACAACGCCATATGCACTGACTCCCTGGAGAGGCAAGACCAGCCAAGTACGAGGACTGGACACGCCCCAGGCTCGAACACCCGCACCGCTAAAGCAATCTCGATTCCCTGATTAGTTCCGTACGCTCATCAAGGATAGCCTGTTACATTTAGCCTCCTCCCCCTACCCTTCCCATCGCCCCCTTCCCCCTTCATGGTTGTATGTCTTTATTAGGAGATCGTGATGTATCCATTCCTTTAATCAATAGGTTTTCTCACTCGCTCACTCACTTGGCCACAAACGCGAATCTAAATATTCCTCGACGGATTGAGTGTTCACAACCGCATACGGCCGAGTCAGGCAGTGCTCCCGTCCAAGGTGTGAGCTGGGGTAGGCTATATATCGCAGATGCATCACAGTGAATAGGCGAAGATCTTTCGAAAAAAAAAAAAGGAGGTACGAAGGTGCCCTCTTTATTTTTGTTTTTGTATTTTCGTACTGAAAAGAAGACACTTAACTTCCTACCCACCTTTTTTTTTTTTCCCCTCTAAACGATACGCGATTACAGAAATCCCAATTTAAAATCGTTTATCCCAGCCCAAAATTCACTTCATGATCTCTACCCGTCGGAACTCTTTAGCAATTTGAAACTACGGTGCCGGGAACCCGCCTTTAACCGGTGTATGTAGCTTCCTATATTCCCCGTAAATCAAAAGTGGCCCCGAAGTAGCAACAAATGACATCACAGAAGCCGGCGTGTTGTGCTGTCTAATGATGGGATCCTTGCAGTTCGCCTGAGAAGTTCCAGCAAAAAGCACACGAGCGAACAAGAGTGGCGCTGTCGTCGAGGCATTTCAACTCCCAGCTGTTGGAGTTTCCGTGGATTGTCAAGCCGAAGAGTTAAGGCCCGTTCACACACTTGCAACCGAGTAAAACGGAGAGAGACAAGACCGTTTTTAAGCCTCTTGCGACGTCTTAGGACCGGGTGCGCTGCTGCGGAGCTGGTCCTAAGACGTCGCAAAGGCTTAAAACCCCGTCTTGTCTCTCTCCGTCCTACTCGGTTGTGTGTGAACAGTGCTTTACCTGCAGCAGAGCAGGTTCCTGCCGCATCCACTTTCACTGCTGCGTCACGGTCAGGATCGCGGCAGCCGATAGGATAACTCTTTTAGGACGTGGTCAGGCGGAAATTGAGGGAGTACAAACACAGACGCGGTAAACACACCAATCGGAGGCACGTTCCCAGCACCGCAGTGAAAATTCTTAACAATTATTCCAGAAGACAACATTTTTTTTCGGCGTCTATTCACACGCAAGGATGCGTACCAAGCAGACCCTACTGGAAAAAAATATTACGTACAGCGTTAATATCCAGAGATTTTTGGCCGGCACCATCAACCTTTGCAGTCTGAACCGCACCGTGAAGGGCCAAAAGAAAGGCGCAGGTACCGAACAACGCTTGCCGCCGTCCTTCCATGGCTCGTGCGCTGAGGCAAGCAGTTTGCGAACGCGTACGTCGAATCACTCAATTTATTGGATTTGATTTACCCCACGTGATCACAAACAGAATGGTGGGTGTGGACGTGAGACGATCCTGCAGTTCTGCAACCCATGACGTTTTTTTAACATTTTTTTTTCTTTTTATGGCGCGCCCATGCATTGTTTGTACCACCATTGTTTTTCCGTCGTGGACGTTTGAGCGTCAATATATTATTTTTAGTCTTAGCAATGTGCCTAAAGCAACGAAACGATTTTACCCTACGTTGGTTTTCGCGTAAGTGGTGATCGATCGCTTCCACCGCGGACATCACAAACTAAGGTCGAGTATATCGGTTTTTATATAAAACTAACTACCCCCTACTTAAGATTCTGCAAATTTTGAAACTACGTCAGTTTTTGTGAGAAGTTTGATTGATCACTGTCGTCCCGATGGAGAGCCTGGTCATGCCAAAAGTCTTTATAAACTAAAATGATGACAAATTTCTCAGTATTTTTATACTATCAATTTGTTCTCGGTGATGTATTGAACACTGTGCCCTATAGATATAGCAAAAGCTTTGAGAAAAGGATCATAAGAAATATCGACTAGGTACTGCAGAGTAAATCAAACTTGTGCCCTAAAATGTAATGGATTACAATTACAAGTTACCGAGCCTCAAATGTAATGGATTACCGTTACAAATTACTTTCGCTGAAAAGTAACAAATTACTTTACCCGTTATGTTACAAATTACTTTTACGTTACCTTTCCGTATTATGGAAACATTTTTTATGTTCTCAGAAATGTTATGTAGCACTACAGTTCATTTCTCATACGCCCGCTTTACGGCAGTCCTTCTAAAAATCAAATATTTTATTTAAGAGAAAGAATGTTGGTGCACTCCATTCTCCTTTAAGCTGAGAGGGCTGCGAAAGTGGCCACCAGACCCGCCATCCCGCTAGGTTACGGCGACCGGGAATTATCCTTAGAATTCTGCTAACGAAGCTAGCGTTGCGCATGCTCAGTAGCAGTGCCTACTTCCGCTAGGAGATCAAGAAGAGAACGCTCACTAAGCGTTGTCTTTTTTATATTTGTTTTTCGCATTTTTGTACTACATGCCTTGCACGTTTTTCTAGTGGTTCTATTGACCGGTCATGCAAAAAATCGTGTTCTCGTTTCGGTTATTCTCCTCTTCAGACTGTTCTCTATTTTGTTCAACTTGCTATTTTTATGCTGCTGAATTGCCTCCTCATATGGCTCCAGTTTTTGTATTATGTTCATATTTTTAAAAAGTAACGAGTCACTAAAATAATTCGTTACCAATATCTCGTAACAAGATTACATTGCAAATGACTGCCGCAAAGAAGTAGCGTAGTAATTGCAAAATTACTTGTAAAAGTTAATGGATTACAATTAATGCGTTACTAGTAAGAGATTACTTCCCAAGTCTGCACAATGTACGCATAAATAACTTGATATTATGTTGTTTAGAGATCAAACAAAAGATGGTATAGTGACTAGGACTTTGTTTTTTCTAAACGAACATAAAAATGAATTTATCAAGAAAAAAATGTAACAAAAATTAGAATATACAGGTACCCGAAGATGTCATTAAAGATAAAATTTCCTAAACCAGTCAAAATGTCAAGATAGGATAATTAATAACAAAATCTAAAAAAAATAAAAAAAAACGTGCCAGTGGAAAAACTATACTTATGCGAGCATTGCCGACTGGTTAACGCACTTGACTTCTACGCAAGGTGTCCCAAGTTCAATGCCTGAGAGCCGCACATCAATATTGCTAATTTGTTAGAAAGCGTGTTTAGTTTATTCGAGAAGCTTCTCACAAGTTCTCAGTAGTTCTGGGGCAAAACTGAGACCGAATATTCTAGTTTGTATGTTCGCGACACTCTCCATCTCGATAAAACGTGCTCCGCGTTTGATTCTTCCATTTCGCCGTCATCGACGCTCGCCTTCTATGCCTGTTATCACTTTTTTTTTTTTGGCATAAGTTTGCCCTTTGAACGTTTAGTTTCTTTGTAAATCCATCGGTGACAATTTTGCTTGTTGGTTCAAAACAGAGTTAGGCAGTATCGCGATAGAAATCTATCGCGATAGCACTTGAGAAATACTTTTTGCACTTATAGTTCGGTATCGCGATACATTTTGTACAATCGGTATCTGTAGTTCTGTATCAGAATACATTTTTATTCTAATAGGTATCTGAATTTATGAATCGGAGTACATTTTTTTTTCTGTATTCCCAGTATCGCGACGCAAGAGCAATGTAGAGCTTTATTTTATTTTTCTGCAAAGGCGGGAAGATGTCCGAATGAGAACTGCGCTCTATTCTTGATGGAAAGTTTTTTCAACCTACTACCTGGTTTTTTTCTCACTGCTCCACTTTAAAGGCACAATCTTGTACGAAGAAATAGAAAACGTCCTCGTCTCATTTCAAGCTTCATCTCACAGTGAGTAGATGTGATTTTTTTTTTTCTTCCAATTGCTGAGTAAGTTATATCATGATTTCTTTTCTTCTTCGTATATAGACAGCGGGTGCACCCAGTCAGCGCTTCAGAGTACAAGTACCTGAAAGGTTCGAGGAAATTAATAAGGGGCTCAAACTACGTAACTACAGAATCGATTTCAGGATATGTATTTCTGCAATAGCAAAATTTATTCCTTTATTTGTTACTATATACTTCTCTTTTTTTAATATGTATTTTGATATATATCTCGATACTTTTCTCAAATGTATTTTAGTATCAGTATTTCATTGTCTTCACCATTTATCCCAGTATTTGTATTTCCAAAATCTTAAGAGTATGTCTAGCCACCCTTAGATGCAAGACAGTATTTATTTATTTATTTACTTACTTATTTATTTATTTTATTTATTTATTTAATTTATTTCATTTATTTCATTTATTTAATTTATTTAATTAATTTAATTTTTTAATTTGTTTAATTTATTTAATGTATTTAATTTTATTTATTTAATTTAATTCGTTTAATTTATTTATTTATTTATTTATTTATTTATTTATTTATTTATTTATTTATTTATTTATTTATTTATATTTATTTATTTATTTATTTCCTACAGCGGCCCGAGGGCATTATAGTAGGCAGAGTCACCATCAAAAGCGGAACACTGAAATTTGAACAATCATAGATCAGCAAGACACGCAGGTTACACAAAAGCAATATGTACAAACTCATACACTGATATAAGCACACATCGAAGGAGCAACCTAGCTCGGTTCGCGAGGAAAAGAAAACAAGTACAATATTCGATTCAAATAGATTTTCAGATACAATGCTGCAGTTCAGAGAAAAACGAATCTGGACTTCGTAAGGTAACAAGGTCGCTTGGCAGGCTAATCTATTCTTTTATTGTCCGCGGGAAAAAAAAATGTTAAAAAGAAATAGGACTGGCGTGTAATCCCGAATGTTTAGGACATAATCTACTCTACGCGATATATAAAATGACTCAAACATTTCATTACATTTGTAGATTTTTGACAAGACATAAAAAAGAGTGAAAACATTTTTAGACGCAAAAACTTACACCTAACTGCAAGCGATTCCCATTGCAGGTCATATTGTATTGCGGAGACACTATTATGTAAGTTGTAGGTATTTATGAGAAACCTAGCACTACGGTTTTGAAATCTTTCAATTTTATTAACGAGATACTGTCCGGATGGATCCCATAGTACAAAAGCGCACTAGAGAAAGGGTTTTACGCACAAAAAAAAAGCGTATTTTAGTGATTGCGAAGCGCGCTAGACGTTTCTCCGTATAAAACCAAGAGTTCTAGTAGTTTTTTCTGTTCTGTAGTTTACATGTGAAAGTCATCTCAAATCGCCCGAAAAAAGTACTCACAGGTTTTTCGCTACTTTTTTGACGTTTCCAGTTTCCCCGTGTAAGGTGTATTTTATTGGAAAATGTTACATTTCCTTGTAAAACTTACATGACAACCTTTTGAGATGCTTAAAGCCATTCCCCAACTTAGACACCAAAGACAGATATTTTGTAAATCGACTTGAAGAGCTGATACATCAGTGTCGAAATAATTTCTCTATACAAAATGAAGTCGTCACTTTATATTTTCATACGCGAGGTAATTCCCTGGGTGATATGTCATTATTTAAAATGAGAAATATCGATAAACATTGATCCGCTGTGATGCCAACAAATCTACATATGCGCAGGCACAGGTATGACTCGTTTCCAGGGTTTGTTAAATTAATACTAATCCCAGGCTATGCAAAAACAATACTAAAATATTAAGTTTTTTTTTTTTTTTTTTTGCTTATCTGGTGGAACACCTGAAAATGTGTTCTCTTTACTTGTTTTCTTTAAACCGCTAGTGCCGCGTCCCGAGCACAAGCTCCCTCTTTGGCTTATGTGGGAATTAAACCGTGAATAATTAAATTTTATTGCAAGTCTAAATGAAGTCTAAATGAAGTGAAATAAAATCAAACAGAAAATGAAAGTTGTGCAACTAGCTCAACTCTTCACTTTACAACGAATTTGAAGTTTTGTTATTGCAGGGCTCATAGATTTTTTTTTCTTTATCTTTCATACAGTAGACGACTCGGATACGTAATGGTGTTAGATGCCCGAGTTTTCGATAGAACTCTTCCACTGTTTTAGGCGTAACCGAAAAAAAGTAACAAAATACGTTATTTGCCAAACGCGCTCCAAACAGACACGTATTCCTACTTCGTAACCAGAATAAGTAAAAAGAAAAAAAAAAAAACATTTTCTTTTTACGCGTGTATGGTGAAAATTTTACGTTTTGGTTCGGACGGTCGTCCCGAAAACATGGGCCTACTCAAAATACGGGTGAAGGAAAGAGAAGGTACAGAGCGCGGCGGAGGTACTTCGGCTACGGGTGTAATGCTGCCGCTACAAGTGCTTCCGTTGTCAAGAAAATACTGTGTCGTACTCTCCGCGAAGTGGCAACATCGGCAACGTCAATCGCTTCC